GACGAGGTCATCGACTACGCTCAACGAATTTGGCAGACTGGCGGTGTTGCTGAACTTCACGTATGGCCGGGTGGTTTTCACGCCTTTACTGTCATCGAACCGAATAGTAAACTATCACAGCATGCAATCGCAGCAAGCGCCAATTGGTACCGTCGACTTTTGGCTTTTACCAGTAAATAATATATGACAACATAAAAACATTGTCGATGAATCTTTTCGCGTGACAGTATGAAATACCTATTTAACAATGCCAGATGTTAAAGAAAAACTAAGTCTATTCTACATTTCCGGGTGTGGGTGTGAGGTGTGTGTTTAGAATTAGAATACCGTACCATGACAACGGTTGTTTCTGTCTTGGCTTGACTTCATCAGGTGGTATTCTTAATATTGTATCTACTCAGATAGTAATTCTTAAATTTTTCTTATGGATACATTCGAATTATTTTTTAAATACAACAATTAGATTTTTCAAAAGACTTTTGCACATTTTAAATTTTCCAAACAGAATTAACTTAAGAGGCGGTCCAAGAGAAAACCGACCAATGGTAGCACATGGTAAGTTTTAGTTTTTGAAATAAGTTATTCCATTTGATACCCCGTGAACATTTATTCTAGAATCCAAATTTTTAACTTTTTCTATAACGCCAATCATGAGATAAAAGTGAATCTTTGAGCACACTCTCCTATATGATATCAAAAATTTTGATGATTTGGGTGTGTTTAGTTTTCCCCTTTTTTACAATCTATTTCTCTACTGAAAGTCCACTATTTTAGTATCATTTAATAGAGCTTGATTTTCTCTATCAAATACATAATCATAGAACAAGAATCGAAAACAAAAATACCGAGGAATGTATATTTTTTAACAAAAAAACGAAAAAAATTTGATTTTTTTTGAAAAATTTTCTTGTATTTTCCTTTTTAACTAGATCACAGTAATGCGCTGCCAAAATTATATTAGTACTAGGAGATAGCGGGTGTGGATGTGGGTGTGATGTGACGTCGGGGTTTTAGTTTTCTGTTTATCCACACTCACACCTACACCCTTCAATATAATTTTCATGTGTTAATGTTTCACCAGGTTCAAAAAGAATTGGAATTGAACAACCATTTTTCGATACTGCAAGCCATATCATAATTCTTTTTGGAAACGTGGCCTTCAATCTTATTCCTTTATGTTCATCAGCATCCTGCCGACAAGCAGCATAAATACGATCATTTTAACGATTGTAAATGGCATCCAATTCGAAATATTTTTCATCAAAAAATAAGGTTTTTGTTTTGATCTTGTTTTCTTAATGACTTTCGAACCTAATACGCAAATGATACTCTTGCTTGTTTATGTTCATCTTTTAGATTCAGCTGAATTGTAACATGATAGACATGTAAATGAAGATCATCATGAATAATTCGACCGATTGTTCCTTTCGAAACATCAAGTGAATTAGCTAATTTTCTTGCACTTCGTCGACCTTAGTAAATTAGCCTATTTTTGACTTTTCGAATAGGACCTTTTGTACTTATAATTCTGGATCTACCAGGTGGTATTTTTAAATCAATTGTACCGACACTTCTATATAGATGTTGCCATCGTCTGACTGTTCGTTCATTGGCCACCTTTCGTAGCTCTTTGGTAATTTGTAGTGATGACATACCATCATCAGTCATGCAGAGTACAACGTTTTGAATATCTTTAGATTTCATACTCAAATTAAATCTAAAAAGCACTTTTTCAGCTGATCTTTTGTGTTTATGTAGGTCTGAAGTAGTCCAAAAACATGATATATTAATAAGTGAAAAATATGCATAAATCCTATATACTTTCATTGGTAAGAAAGCCGCCCATTTATTATGGAGCACCCGTTATATAATAAGTCTTCTCTGATCGAGACGGTGGCTTCCGAAGATTCTGCTGAAAATTCCTAAACATTATCTCTCATTTTTTTTAACCACATGCATATAGGTTTGAGTTGCGCAGTGTATAGTTTCGTGTGATGACAACCACAGCTTGCTTCGTGTTTGTGTTCCGGAGTTATTCAACTTTTGTCAACATATCCTGTCTCAAAAAGTACATTTATTGCATTTCAACAACAAGTGCTTGCTATTCTGCCCACAGTACAATTTGAGAGAAAGAGAAAAAACTAAAAACCATACGAACATTGATTTTCATCATGTTAAACTACTGAATTCATTTTCATCTACACTACGCTTTTATGCATGTTCAATAAAACAAAATGAGTAAGGAAACGTCAATATTTGAACCTGAAAGTCGGTACTACTTCATATACAACGTATTTCTCTATGTTACATCGATTGTTGGCCCTATCTTCTTTCAATTAGTTATAATGAATCAAAATAAAAAAAGGACCTTTTGAACAAAAATAAATGATCATTATACTTTTTAAAATATCTGTTGATAATACACTAAGACGCATGTAGTAATATGGGTAACATATTTTTTATCAAAAGTCTACAGTGAGCTCAACTTTTCTGGCACATACCTAATAGTTTAAACCCACTGAGGTTCATGATGTCGACATGGAAACTCCTCAAGAAATATACGAGAACATGTCCGCTCAAGTGAATACAGCAAAAGAAAGAAATGGTTAGCCTGGAGAGGGAGAAATTAGTAGAACGAGAGGGAAAAAGCAAGAAAAATAAAAGAAACACATTAGGAAATGTCAACTATATATCGTTTAGGACTCTATTTGATAAAACACCAAAACAAATGTATAGAAAAGCTGCCATAGTTTATCAATCGTCATTATTTAAAACTTTCCTTTCCGAGAAAATAGAAAGGAAAGTAGGAAAAATTAAAAAGATGAGAAAGTGGGAAAACTTAAAAAGATTCTCTTTCCGAGGAAAAAGAAAGCAAACACTTTAATTTCATTTCCTTTCTGAAAGTGAAAGGAAAGTGCTACTTCTAGTAAATAGTGCACTACGTCAAACCATTCATCATCTCAAAAATATATTCTAAGTAAATGTCTATTCTTAATACGTTCTCCTCTGCTAGTCTATCAAATTTCATCGAACACTTTTTAATTCAAAAATAGCTATCTCTATGAATGTTGCATCTTCTGCTAATGGAGTGTCTCTTCAGGTATCTAGTGTACTACATGATTACACACTGGTTAGTATTCTTATTTCCACACATAAAGTTTCCTTGCTATCTTATCAAGATATTCTACTTTTCCCATTTGAATATCATCAAAATAGTAACATAAAAATATACATGGACCATGTCAACGAGGTCAACAAAAAGTAGGCCTGCTTTAACCTCTACAACATTCATGAGATATATATTCTGCTCAAAAAAAGGTGAAAAAAAGTCAAACAGTTTTCAATTGATCAGGAAAAATTTTCGGGCTGAGCCTACTCTAGGCTCAAAACTTGGTTGCGACGCTAGTCTATACCAGAAGAAAATTTTGAGGTAAAAGCGAAAATTATCGAGACAGCGTGAAATATATACTAGTAGACTCAACTTTTTGTATTGATTTTATATAATACATTTTTAAAAACGCAAAACTGGATACTTCTGCGCGGAGAAATACTACCATAAAACATACTTGATTCGCTGCGATTTCTTGCGGTTGTACCAAAAGTGATATCGAATCCATTGAATTTCCAATTGAACAGGATATAGCGCGCACGATCACACAGTAGTGCCTTTTGGCAATAAAAGTCATGCTCATTGAGCCAAAATATTTCCACTTCATAGGAGTACAAATTTGTCACTTTTCAAAAAATTATGAAATTAGGGCAGCATTTCTAATTTATTGGTAGGAAAAAATTGAGTGTCCTAGAAGTTCTTATAGATTGTGATACAGGGAAAGATTCTACATCGAATAGACCTATTTTCAACAAATGTACACTGAAACTTAATGAACTGTTAAGTCAAAAGCTGTTTTTTCAGGCTTTCATAGAGGACTGCAAATCTTTCTTATTGTCCGATTACTCCCCACAAAATGAAATGATATTTAAAATAGCACACTTATGGTTATCAAAATGGTTAGACCTGAAACAAAATAGCGACAAAAATGTTTTTTCGAAACCCATGGGGTGAACTAGGAATGCACCAGCGCCAATATTTACTGGTACCAGTAATACTTGTTTCCTGTTTTCGAAAATAACTATTATTTGAATGAGTGATTTTCTCAGCCATCACTTCTTTTGTCAATATTCAAGTGAAAAATTCAGTTTTGCAGAATTTTGAAACAGTATACGATATTGTATTTTCAACTAGCTGATAACATCATGCGGAACTTTTTTCATTATTTTTCATCGTTTTTGAACAAAAAAAAACGGTTTCAATGATTGATTTGGTCAGTGAGTAAAACAATCTTATTCTATAAACCAATTAACTGGAATACTATGTTGAACATATCAACTTGAACTTAGGCTTAATCAAATATTGAGGATGGGTGTGGTAAGATCAACACCCACATACCCACGCCCTCGAAAAAGACTAGCGGTGATTTTTTTTATCGCAGTAACATTTTCATAAGACTTTGAAGTTGATGCATGCTAGGCTCTTGAAAAATAGGAGTTATTTATGTGGTGATATTGGGTACATCCTATTCTGAATTCAACGCTGAAGTTTATCTAGAAGAATAAGAACCAGTTTGATGAAGATGGCATTGATCTACGAATTTCAAGCTCAAATTGAGCTAAATGTAGAGAAATCATCAATATGAATCTAGAATTAATAATAAGATATGATCTAATGTGCATTTATGTAGACGATGGTTTCCGCCTTTATTATCAACCAACCCATCGGATGATGTGATATTTTGGTTTTTCTGCAAGAAGCTGTCTCTAAGGACTATCGTTGTTGTTTAGAAGTAGTTAGTTTTAATTCCAACGTGAAAAGTTCAGTTCAATCCTTTTTACAAACATAACCTGCACGGTTAGATGTTTCGTTTAATGGAAGCTGGGGATGAAATGCAAGTGTCTCGAATCTATAATATCAACTCCCATAAGCGAGGTTTTCACAAAAAGCTTCACTTTGCCCAAAGTGCCCTAACGGCAAATTTTGATAAAATAAGGTGAAACTATCAACATGCCAGTAATTCCTCAAGATCTGTTTCGAAACAAAAGTTCAGACCTGCACTCCTTTGCAGTCAGAAGATATGAACTTCCAAGTATTAGAAAAAAGTGACTTTTGGCTCCATTGGTGCGATTCGCCGAATGCAAAGAATTCAATCGTTGAGACTGAAATTAGATGAGTGTGTAGATGTTGTCGGCTTATAGATCCATAGAAAATTTCAGCTCAATTGAATGAAAGGTTCTTGAGCTATAGCGTACCGAAAATCGCGTTTGGCGAAACTCGAAACTTGAAGCTGGAAGTTTCAGTTGAATTTAAGTGTCAAGTATGACACTAGTGTGAAGGGCCTAGGATACTAATCGAAATCTTTGCTTAGTCTGTTGTTCTACACTGTTTTGTTACAATATAGGTTGCGACTTGTACTTTTCTCTGTGAAGACCACAATCATCAAGATGTTCATGGGTTTTCTGCTGCATCTGCTGATTCTTGGCGGCTCGCCGATATGTTCCGGATATTTTAGCCCAGATACCACCGACTACGATGCTTATGGATTGAAGATGGCTGCCAACAATCTTATCTTAGTTGAGTCACAGCCTGATAATACTGCATTTTTCATCCTATTCCCACCCTACAACAATGTATCTACTGGCCAGCAATTTTCCCTTGACTATGACGATGGCAATGATTATGTTTATTCGGTAGGAGTCGGGTTTCAGGCAAGTGACAGTAACTTTTACGCGGTAGGTCAAGTCGCCACTGGAAACGGACAGGACATCGATCTGAGTGGAGGTAATGCCACATTCATTGCTTATTACAATGCTACAAACGACGTACAATGTGGTCAAATTGCTCGTACTATAATTAGTGAGATTCCTTTCTTACCAGATGATTTTCTCGTTATGGTGGTTCATCCAACTGGACAATTTGCACTAGGGCTGGCTCCAAATTTTGCCTTCATATTCAATCCATCAGGTTCGCCCACACTGATTACGAAAACTTCAGTTTGGTCGAATAGCTCCTTTACCCCAAGAGCAGCAGACATAGATACCAATTTTACTATTGTAGCTGGTATACGTACTAATTCAGCCTCTTCCCGTGCGCTTGCTAGCGTTGTTGTCTATCTAATCGATAACACATTGAGTCATATATATTCTACATGGACCTACGTACCAACAGCCAACAGCTGGCAAAGTCAATTAAAATTTTCGGGCTACGACAGCTGGTCTGTCAAATATACCATGTCCGTTGATATCAATAATTATAATCCAACCCGTGTACTTGTCGGTGTTCCTTGTGTCAATACTGTCTTTCATTTTATCGTAGGTGGCGGCGGAACAACATTGAACTTGACAGACCAAAGAAGTAGTGGCAATAGTGTTGGGTTCGGCAAGGGTGTTGCTTGGATATCATCTGACCAAGCTGCCATTCTTGCAAACATATATACATTAACATTCTCCTCTTGGTTGTCTTCACAAATTTGGGTTTACACGCAATTGCCCTCAACTAGCCTTGTCTCAACACCAACAGTCATCATACCCAATAGCCAACAACCTATACCTTCTACTATCAGTAGTGAACTTATCAATCTAGTCTCCACTCCAAGTGGATTGGTTGTCTTAGACGTATCTGGTGGAATTCTCTTTATTTTATCGACTCCACCTAGCTATTATGCTTCGACGGATCCGAATCTAGCACCGGACTCTATTGCAATACCATCCATTAGTACAACACAAAGTTGTCTTGCTGGCATGATGAAGAGTGACACAGGACTTCATCGCTGCTCTCTTTGCCCTATGGGTTGGAGAAGTTCAGTAGGTAGCATCAACTGCACAGCCTGTAATGCATCAGCATTTTGTCCGCCTGGTGCTGTTGCTGAAGTGTCACAAACCGAATTACAAACGATTTTGCAAGCATATCCCTATTACAAAAATCCAGACACAACACTATTTGATGATGTTCTTTTAAAAAATGTATTTCACATAGGTTCGACTAGACATTGTGTTGTTGTATCACCTATATTCTGGACTCTGATTGTTCTGATCCCACTATTGGCTCTTATTGGCATTCTATTAATGTGTCAAAAGTGCAGTCGAAGTTCACATGATTCAGCGCGCATGAAAACTATAAAAAAGTGGTTAAAACGCACCGATCTTGTAGTAAGTCAGTCTGCTTTTTCGAACGTTCAGCAATGGTAAACATTTCTTGGAGATAGCTAATTATAATACTCTCGCTTTTTAAGTAAATATTTCACTCTTAAAAGTCACAGAAAATCGGGTCTGTCAAACAAAACTTCTTGGTAAGCAGAACAAAGGAGAAAGACATAGTTTCGATTCAGAAAATATTCATTTGACTGACATTGATCTGCTCTAAAATTTCCAAGCATCCATCGCTTATAATAAGGACATACTACTCTTTAGCTTTGTACTTGAAATGTTCGTATAGTTGGTTTCCAAAGACCGCCATGAAAGAATTAAAATTTTTTCAGGTTAATATCTGATTTCGGCATAACACACTTTCCTACGGTTAATTTTGATTGTGAAAGAATCTCGATAAAATATAATCAATGCCGATGGGTGCCCCATAAAAATATTATTAAAAACTATAATGCTATCTATCCAAAAATGGTCTCATTGTATTGTCAAAAGTAATTGTCACTAAACATTTGAATGATAAAAACTGTTTGCAGACTTTCGTTCATTATCACTACATCCATATTACACTAGAGTTAGAAAGGAAAGCAATTTACTACTAGCATAATATTTGAGCACCCGATTTCATAATACGAGAAAATAGTTCAACTATTAAAAGCTGTAAGAGAATCCGTCAGTTTAAACCCATCAAATTATTGAAAAATTTGAGTCGCAGATGTTCAATACATCTCTCTAAATCGAAATTAGACGATCTTCTTTCAGAATAGTAGGCTTTTAGAATTATCGAACGAAAAATGATTCGCACTCAGTAGTACACTCATCGTTGTGGCCTCGATTTTTTCAATTTTGCCATTTCGTATTCTGATCGGTCCCGGTACCAAAAATTGCTAGTTCAGTCGTTTACATAGTGGTAATATCAGTAATCAGCAATGGCAGGTAGTACGTTTCATAATTGACTAGTGATAATACCATTATACGAATGAATGAAGAGGAGTAGTTCGAGCTCGTTGATAATTTAGACTCAAATAATCTACAAATGTGTCTGCAATTGAAAGCTTAATTTTTTCTGTATTATTTTCATATAGGCTGAAGGTGAGAACTGGATTGGCGGATTGTTCACACTCGCGCTTATTGTGCTATTGATCCAAACCTATGTGTTCGCCAACAATTTTATGTTTCAGTATCCGGCAGCAAGTGTTGGCAACAGCAATTTCGCTTGCGACGTTACATTACGAAACGCTTTGTTCGATACATCACTAAAGTCACTTGCCATTCCACCATCTAGTGAAGAGCAAGACATGTTCGATTTGCTTAACAATCAACAGTGGACGTTGAATGTTAATTTGATCAATACGGCAATTAATTGTTCATCAATATCTCCCTACGAAATTATCGGTACCTCGTCGATTGCACTCAGTCTAGCAACATGTAAGAACGTAAACTCTGCAGTGAAAGCGACTATTGTCTTATCGAATCATGCGGAACAGTTACAAATAGTAATCAACGATATCAACGTAATTGGAGGCATAGCAGTGGGTTTTACTGGTCCAGGAAGCACTGCGGGAAGTAAATCGGTTCAGCAAATGAATTTTATTCAGGCATTTTACAATACTAATGAAACATTAGCTCAATCAATTCTCATTGCTCTACAGCTCATCATGGTAAGTTAAGAATGAATTCTATTGATGAATGCATAGAATTATGTTTTGTATTCAGATCCCTTTTTGAAAAAGATTTTTATATTATTCTTCATGAGTCTGTACCTCTGAAATCATGATATCAATACCAAAGATAACAACGTATACGCAATAAGAAAATAGTACCACATAAAAGCTTAGAGATATTCAGTAAGAATATATGAAATCGTTGTCGATTTTATTGAGCACAACACATATTTTAAAGCACAATATGAAACCTTGAGAGAATTAAACAGAACCTAGAAAGAGCAGGAGATTTACTTTGAGAATCTCGTATGATGTCAATCATTGAGCTTACAAACAAAAGTTTGAAGGTCTGGTACCATCACAGAATTTCTCCACAAGTTCGATACGAAATCCTTTGCTTTTCTCAGCATTAATATTTTACGCGTTTCATTCGAAAGCAAAATTCTAATTTGACCTCTCATTGCTAAGTAACTAGCTCACCCTGAACTCGTCATAGAGAGATAAGTTCGCTTATAAGATGATAACGGAATAAATGTCTTATATGAAAATAATCTTTTCTAGGCCATAAATGAGACCGAATCATTAAGTGGATCAGAAACACAATATTCAGGAATTTGGTATCCAATATATACTGTAGACAAAAGTACGATATTAGTCACGCGTGATGAATATGCGATCTTATCCAATTTGACTCAAACTACAATAGCAATTACTCTCACGGATAGTTCATACTATATCAATCACGTACAATCGCCGCTTGCCAAACAGCCTGAAGTGATATTCAAGACGTTTTTGGTCACTCTTATTATTTTGGAAATGAGCGGTTTATGTTTTCTTATATCTAAACTTATAATCTTCCCTTTAATCAAATTCCTCTTCTGTCGACACAAGAAGTTAAGAACTAAAATATTTGGGGAAAATGAAAAAAGTGGTGAAGAAAAGGACGAAGAATATGAGATGGAGGAGGAGAAGGGTCACGCTGCTAATCTCGAAGGTCAACATCACAAATCATCTGGATACAAATCAGCAAAAGTATATCCAAATTCAGCTCATCACAATCAATTGGATAAATTTAAAGAGCCACATTTGGATGCATCCACTGAAGAACGCAATGACTCAAAATAGAGTTCGACTACTGAAAATTTCAATGTTGACCAAGATACTTCGCCTACTATTGTAATTAGGGTTTAAAACTAAAATAGCAAACCGTTAATGGACACTGCCCATATAAAGAAAAGTACCAAAAATTTACTAAAAATTTGCTTTCCATAATAATAATACTTTTACTATTCGAAGTACTATGAAATACTTTTTCTTTTCATTATTCAATAATATTGATTTTTGTCAAGCGCTTCAGTATCTTTTCGATGTTCTAAAAAAAGTATTTATAGTTGTAATCAATGTAAATGCGACTGATATTTACAAACCATGGGAATTTTGAAATATTTTATCATTAATTTAATTATATTAAAGTCCTGCTTCAATTATTATCACATCGTCCACTAACAAACTCTCTTGCTCGTTACGCTACAAGAAGAATATTAAGTTATCTAACTATCTGAAAAAATAGAATAGCAGCTACTCCATTGAAATTTATTGACTAATAATCATTTTCATCCTCTTTTGCCTTAGTGTTTTTAATATTGTCAGGGTTGAAGTTTTTTCCATCTCGATTATTACTCTTATTGAACATCAGATTAAGATAGATTTTACTGCGGTTTAAAACATTTATGGGCTGGTAATAAACATAAGTAGCATATGGATTAGATTTTTGAGCTATGAATCAAGTTTAAGAAACGTACGAATTAGTATTTTCTATCGGATTGCTCGAAATAGACACAATTTTCAACAACATCAATAGTATTTATTAAACGAGTGATATAGGCGGCACACCAGAGTAGCGAAGGGCACCAATTGCTTCCCCTATTAGCGCATATTCAGATAGTTGTCAGACGAAATTATATACAATATTTGTAACTAAGTTAATATGGAAAAACAACAAAAGAAAAACATAATATGAAAATAAATGGATTGATTACATGTAAGTTTTTGAAGTCGAAAAATTTATAATGGTTTTGCTGTCTTTTTAATAAATTTACTGCTACCACTAGAAATTTTGAGTTGTGCCACTCATGGCTGTAATCTTACACTTGGAAAAATTTGATTAATAAAAGTAATTTTGTCAAAGTAGTATGAAAAAATACTATTGAGCACTTCTCAAAGTCAGCAAGCAAGTATGAGACGCAAGAAGTAGTTTTAATTAATTTCTATAGTACTTTGCAGTACTCTATAAGAAAAGGTAACAAAAATTACTTTTAAATTGTAACTACGCTATCTGTAACTTGCTCAATTTGTAAGGTAGTTCTAACTATACGTATACGTTTGAATACAAATTTGGTGAAATACTTTGTATAGTAGAAAAAGTTTGAAAAGTTCGAATCTAGTCTGGGGAAATACAACATAGTAAATTTCATTCCAAAGAGTACTATATTAAGCACTAAAAGTTAACAAGTAGCATGAATCAAAAATCGATTCACTAAGCCCTAGACTCACAGAACTCACAGATACAAATTAATGAACAGCTGACTTCGTCGGTCGTTTCCGTTACAGATCCTGAAATTTCTAAAAAAGATGAGTGGATAAGTTCAATCGAGACAATAAATACAGAGGATGAATAAGTGAAAGTGGGGTGCCGATGAAAAGAAAATGAAAAATTTCCAAGAACCATGAATAAAAAAACGCAACCGAAAATAAGCATGGAAGACATGTGTGAAGCAGTACCTGAACCACGATTTTGCTTTTGATCAAGCGAGGGGGAAGACCTCTTAGTCTCGTAGCTAGGACCCGTCGGGTCCAAGACGTTTTGGAGTCGGGCCCGAACCCAGACCTGGTACATCAAAAACTTTTGGGCCCATACTAGTCGTGATACTTTAACTTTAAAACTACTCTGATGAAATTATTCAATTTAAAGTAGCGTACCTCACCTTGATGGTGTGGATGTGGCTGAGAATAAAAATGCTGACACCCACACCCACACCCACACCCATACCAAATATACAAGGTAATTCTAGCGAGAGATATAGCGTATGATCAGCTTCTGAACTTAGTAATTTCTTCCAAAGTATATAAATTTGTCTGAATTCTTCTTATGTGACTATATGAGAAATTCGATGTTTTTCGTAGTGTGTTTGCATTTCGTATTCTTATATGCTTATCTCAATCTCGGAAACAATTCAAATCGATAAGATTTTGATTTTCTTTAAACTGATAGGATAAAAAAGTTTAATTGAATCGAATTGTTTCCGAGATTGAGATAAGCATATAAGAATACGAAATGCAAACACACTACGAAAAACATCGAATTTCTCACATAGTCACATAAGAAGAATTCAGACAAATTTATATACTTTGGAAGAAATTACTAAGTTCAGAAGCTGATCATATGCTATATCTCTCGCTAGAACTACCTTGTATATTTGGTATAAACATGAGATATAATTGTCGATATATAAAGAAAAAAATATCGAACAAGTTATGTGTCCTGTCCCTTCTGGACCATCCTGTAGATATCTATTTTTAATATATATATATATATATGAGTATTTGTCTTTTGTAGATATGAAAGACTTGAACCTTTAATACAACAACTTGATCGACTTTTTCCTGATTTACGTAGAGCGTGGGAAACAAATAGTTGATATTTGAAATGAAAGTTATCATACTAATTTAAAACTTTCATCGACTAATTGATAAAAAAAATCAAAAACTTTTTTTTTTCTCTATTTTTCTGTATCAGATCAAATTTTCTATATTCATATGTAAGATTTAAAATAATGTATAAGATAAGAGCAATATTAGAGGAAAAAGAAAAATCAAAAGAGAATATATTGAAATTTTTAGATTTTAATTAAAAACAGTATGAAAAACAATGATTTTCTTTGTGATGTTATTGAAAGTAGGCTCCCATTTTTATCCAGAATTCTTTTAATAGACTTTCTAAAAAAAATTCAAATATATGAAATAGAATCAAATCATTTCAGTGGTGAAAAGATATCTCCTTGGTTTAGATCAGAGATGAACATGACTTGACTTTTTCAAAATTTAAACCAAACTGAAACTAAGATATCTACAATCAAACCGAACCGAACCGAAACCGATAGCAAATGGATGGAAACTGAGCCGAAATATGCTCATTTCTGATTTAGACAAAAACAGTTTTTGATTCCCGTCTCGGTTCGACAAAACTTTAGATCTGATTGAGGTTCCGGTCCCGAGACTCAGACGCGTTGTCAGGAATTTTCAAAAAACGAGGAACCCATTATGGTAAAAAAACAATTTGCGTTTCGAGAAAATGTAGCTCTCTATACTCTCCTCCAGGAAATTTTTCCTCGAAGGAGGAGAACCGATCGTCCTTTTCACTCTCTTGTTTACGCAACTATCAAAACCGGCATCATGATACCCATCTGTACTTTCATTACATATAGAATGTTATAGTATAGTCTTCATATGCCAACTTTTTTTTGGAAAAAAATTCTTAATTCAATAAATATAATATTACAGAGAAGTAGATTAGATGAGAATAAACAGTAACGATATTTTGTTGAGAAGAATATTTTATAAAGAAAACAATTTCGCGATTTTAATAAAAATCTTAAGCGAAAAGGAAATTAGTTGCTTTTTAGAGAATACTTTATTTGACAAATATCGTTTAATCATCTATTTATTCTTAATGATTTAAGGGTATCTCTCTCTTGTTTTTAAGTGTTCCTAATTTTCGAAGTGAGTATAATCGGTCCCTCACTAGAATTTCTACTACAAATAGAGCACCTAAAATAAGGAGATATATGTTTGAGAACAAAACATTTAAACAAAGTTTACGGAGTTTTGAGGAAGAAACCATGGCTTCCTATAGGACCACATTGGGTCTACTTATGACTCTCCTATTATTTCGTTCGGTGGAGCTGGAAACTATTTTATAGATCTCTTAGACGATATTGCAGAGGTATTTTTAAACTATTCAAAAATCTCGTTCTTAGTGGTTTTTTATGAGACAAATACGTAAAGGATTCGGATTGAAATCGGGGGTGTTTTCATTCAGAACCCTCTAAATCCGAATAAGAAGATCAAAAATAGAAATAGCCAATTTAATCTAATAAGGACACTTGAGGTTGTCTATAGTAAAAATTCCAACTCAATCGGGCAAAGTTCGAGAATGGTTGTAGGCAGATTCTATTGAGAAAGCCCGTATTTTGCATTACGTTAAATAAAAGAAAAAAGTTTCGTTGCAGTTTCTATTAAAAAATAAAATTTTTAAGTTCTATAACTCTGTAATGCTAAACTATTTATGATCGAATGTCATCTCTAGTTGGTCATAACATATGAGAGTGTCATACCTTATGTCCAAATTGAAAACGTTTTTTGATCAAAAAAGAGGAGATATACTTAGGTTGATATAAAAATCTAGTAGAATATTTTATGTATGATCTTTTCTATCGAAACAAATGGCGTACGACTTGAATACTTGGAAATCTAGTAGAAAGTTGAAAGCAAAAATTGCGGGTGTGGGCGTGGATGTTCGAAATGAGTATTCATCGACACCCACACCCTCAAGCATAGAACATGAGCCGAAAATAAATATGTATTACAACGGCGTCAGGATAGTTGATTTCCAGTTTTTTTGTAATATCTGCTTATATGATGTATCATAAGTTAGTAATTTTATTATATGTAAAGAAGGATATAAATCAAATGTATCGTTTCTATCCTGACTTTTTGTATTCATGCGCTTCATGCGACAAAGATCACTTAAATGCTTTACATTATTGATGTAACTAATTTTATTTATGATAGATGTTCTAGAGATGTTAAAGATATTATTCGTTACTGCTGCAGCTTTGATTTTTATTTGTGATCACAAAGAGAAACTGGAAGAATAGTGTTACCGCTATTCTTAGTGTACATATGATATTAGTTACACTGCTCCATTCTCCAATATTCCAGTTCTCTTCCAGTTCTGATGTATCATACAATGTACTCGCTTTATATACCTGCACACGAGAGAGAAAAGAATAGAAAAATATATAATAGACATATGCGCATTCCGTAGGTTATGTCTAAAGATGCAATCACGTTACATAAAAGTAGATAGATAGCATTAAGAAGTAAACCAGAAAGATTGATGAGAGTACTAGGTTATACGACGTCTATGGCATATTGCATAACACTCATCATAATGTACTCCTCCTTCCTAATACCTGATCAGAGGATATTCCAAAGAAATGGAAACACAAATTTGTGAACAATAAAGGATGCCCATGCATTATTGGCACAGTTGAACTTGATTGTACGCTGTTATAAGAGGCCTTACTATACGGTACTACCGTGAGAAGGATATGACGACAGATACTACATTGGGTAAAAAACAATTTTATAAAAAAATGAAATGAAACTGGTTTGATGAAAAGATTTCGAAGCATTTCTTATGAAAGTGATGGTGAAAGATCGAGCAATGGGAATTTCTCTTGAGAGTGTGGGTGTATTTTTTTAGTAGGAACTATGACGCGTTTCGACCTTGCTTAAAGGTCTCTTCAGGTAGATTTTTTTTGGCAGTTATTCAATTGATCGTCAGATCACAAATAAATTACTTAATGTATGCAGAAACCAAAGAATTACCAACAATTGGAGACAATACAGCTGCTGAATATTTCATTGGCTGATAGATGTCGTATTAAAGAGTGTTTTTTCAAAGGAAACTACGAACGGTTTCGTCCTTGAGGGTGTGGATGTGGATGTATGGCTGAGGGTGGACTTGGTATCTGGCGCGGGTATACATCATCACATAACATCCATACCCACACCCAGCCGCACCCCACATCCACATGCATTTAAACTATGCAGCATTTGGAGACGAGCAAAGTTAAAATAAACTGGAACAGTCATAAAGGCTTCTCCAGTTAAATATTTTTTGGTAGTGATTTTTTACACAGCCACCGATGAATAAGCCATACCCAAATCAAAGTAGTTTTACACTCAGAAAAAAGCAGCTATGGCTGAAGAAACGTACATAGTTGTTTTTTCGTGAGTCACATGTTGAGAAGTTGTTATTTTTTTGTCGGTTCTGTGCACATTTATAGAAAGTGAATGCTGCAAGAAGAGATAATGGTGCAACAGAGAGTGCGTGTGTATATATGAATAGGGTGGATGGCTATCATGAAAGCATTTTTAGGTGCACTCATTCACGCAATGCCCACAAAAAAAACGACATTTTGGTTTTGTGAATAAAGTAATTGCAAATAACTAAGAATAAAATGAAAACCTGGCTGAGAAATGAAGGTGCAAAGTTATTCATTCTTAGGACAATGTAACTGTTGCGTCCATTTGGTTAATAAGTACATCGATGAATATTGATTGCAGTAGTCATTTCTATGAATGTTTCTCCATTCAGTGTTTAGCTGTGTTCTTTCTTCGTCTAAAATGAATGCATAACTGTCTGGAAATGAATTTGGATCTTCAATAGTCATTTCTTCTCCATATTCTAATTCATTAATTAGTCCTTGTACTGATGTACCATGTTCGTTCACCAGTGTTTGATATTTTGGATTCTGTCTTCTTAATTCGATATTTTTCTGAACAATATCGTATATAGGCATTGATTGACCAATCAGTTGTAAATAAACCCATCGATGCATTAAACCACATGAGAGAGTTTTAAAATAATTTAATGGTGCGTCATTAAATAAAGATGGAATTCCATACCCATCAGATCCAATACATGGAACTAAGATTAATTCTTATTTATTAGTGTCTAATAATGAAAAATTATCAATTGATTGATCATGCTCGGTTATGACACCACGTTGTTCACTAATTTTTTGTACATATTCCTTGAATTTAATTAATAAATGTTTAAAAGTTCCGTATTTAGCTTTGTAAACATAGAATGAAAATTGTCGACGTTCATTTCTAAATTGTATTATATCGCCATGTTGTAATTCGTTAAAATTAACAAATAACTTAGTTAAATCTTTGTTTAATTATAAAGTTCGTTGTCCAGAATTTGGTTTATCTAGTTCCATTTCAATATGTTTTGATTGAAGAAGAATATCTTCATATTTAATGGCTTCTATTGTTTCAAAATCATTCAATGCTTTTGCTTTTTCAAATTTTTCTTCTCGAATTCGTTCTTCTTCTTCTCGTTTTTTAACATTTTCTAAGGAATAATAGCCACACAGTCTATAATTTTCAGCTATTAATAATTGGATGAATGACTCGTCTAGTGAAACATAATTAGCTTCTGGACGGGATAAACCTACCATGTGAGGAATTGATGATTCATTCTGTTTTATAAGCTCTTTACAGTCCGATAATGCCAATAATGAATGAGACAATATGACGTTACTTGCTGGCAATTCCCAAATAGGATATTGATATAATTTTGGTGGAGATGTATAACGTTTATCTAATGAATTACTCATTTTAAATTCCCCTTTCTTCTGCAGCAACGGCAATAAATGCATACCAATTGTGCTATATATTTAAGAATGTAATTACACAATACAACTGAAATAAGAAAGAATTTGAAAAACAACTCAGAATCTCGATACGTTGTGTCTCGTATGACTCATAAAAAACTAAGAAAAATAAAATCCTACTATTCAATAGGCAAGAGTACTTACATAAAGGATTGTCAAAGTGCATGCACATGTATACCGTCAATAGTTTTATAGTCATACAACTACATCCACATCATATTCGAGTAATTCTTGGAAGTTTCTTATAGATAGACACACCAATATAATTTTAAAAACTATAAGTAATATTAGACGACAATCAAATAACTCACAAGAGAAAAATCTAAGATTCATTGCTTTTGATCACATTTTATTTGGCACTCGATGCCGCTTACATTTTAGTATCAAAGCATATTTTGTTAGCAAGCTGAAATTCATTAGTTGTCATCCATGGTGCTTGTTGAACTATTACATGACGAAAGTGGAAAGGAACTTTAACAAGGGAGAAATCACGTACTCCTGTATACTCCTCGAGTCCACCGAGTACAGTGAAGTCCATGGAGTTCAGTGAAGCCCACGAAGTCCAATGAAAGTACATTGATCATAATATAAGGGTATGGATGTGGGTGTTGTTGTATGACTGTGAGTGGGCTTTGGCGTCTGGCGCGGGTATACATTATCACATAACATCCTTACCCACACCCACACCCACACCCTCTGGTTAATTTATAGTTGGAAAAGAAATGTTCTCTTATAAGAAAATGACTTCCGATGGTTAGTTTTGGTTTGTTGTCTACGTTGACCATATCATATACAATACCAAAATGTTGTGATTAGTCTATCAATTGATATGCAAAAGAAGCCTCTATTCTATACAAAAGTCGTGTATAAAATGTTTATGGAAAGATTTTTCAGGCAAAATGTTATCTGATCATCTGATATTTGAACAAGTCCAAGCAAACTAACGAATGTATTAGAGCATCAAATTTCGATGGAATCGGCTCATGTTTTTCTGAAGTAGAAGCGATCCCGTCTCTGTAATGTATCCATTGTAATAGAGACATCGGACGGTTGAAAAGAAAAGGTTATTTTCAAAAGATGAAGAGACTCATTATTAGGAGATTACCAAAAATATTTTTGCACGACATTCCTTGTCTCGTTGACTAGGCCTCATTATATCAATTTCTAGAATTTCGCAAAAAGCCTATAAAATGGTTAGCTGTTCCAGTTTTGTCAAAGACAGTACTGCTGTTGACAATATCGACTAATTGATAAAAAAGCAAATGACAAGAAAACGTCTCAAACTTTTAATTAACTAATGCATCGGTTGCATAAGAGTTTCATTTAAATAGAAGCAAAGGAAGTTTATTATCGTGAAACATAGTAGTATTTGAAAAAATATATTAGGCATGCAGATTGAGATTGTCTTTCCACTAATCATTCATTTATCAGGTTTGCGCGGCAAATTAGGTAAACTGGGTCATTCTCCATCTCCTTGACCAAGTCTTGAACAGACGCATACCGGCTGATTTTGACAAAATACACAGTAACCCGTTCCAGTATTCTGAAATTTGCATGAGTTTATGCAAAGACTTCGAGCTACTTTGGCGTCGATTGGACGTCCTGCATTCGTGCACATGCCGAAAAACCCCAATCTCGTCGATTTCGTGGATGATCATCATTGACAGAGACATTGAATACAACTATTGCAAGTACGACAAGAAGAAGAGCACTAAAGATAGAAAATTGACCCATGATGATCGTGTGTAGAATATATTGTTCGAAGCAGAGTTGTTTCGATGTTATATACCGAAAGCACGTTCTTTTTCCTTCATTCCGTGACGTCATAATAGATAACAAATATTGTGATCATTTATTCCCTCTTGACTATCAAACATTTCCCTATCAATCACGTTGAGATGTTGTTCACGAATGTCATCACTTCAAGGGGGAAAAGCAGATCGCGGGATTGTGGGATTATATGGATTGTATGTATCGCCACCGTATCCCGGATACGAGAATATCATGAAAATAGAAAGGATCAAAAAATGAAATGACGTATTCACGAATCCGATTTTGTTTCTTGGATAAAAACGGTGATGTAAAAATTATTGAGTACCACAGGTAGAAGTTCATTTATGCCGTTCTATAAGTCAATATTCATGCAGTATCACTGAATTTGTCTTCAATCAAAGTTGTTACAGTTTTCTGATTTTGAAATATGTATTAAAAATAACAGTTTTAAAGAATGTTGACCTAAATTGTTTAAAAATATACTGTTCAGTTACGAAAGTGCGTAAATATTGCTGGGAACGCTACCCACAAAAAAGTACATTTGTTTGGTCTTTTATTATAGACATATTCCAGCGAAAACAGATCTGTTTTTATTGAACTGTTCATTGTTTACATGCTTTAGCGTGATATAATAATCGTAAAAATGCAGTTCATCAATACTAAGAGATGCACAACAAAATTATAATGTTTGCAGTACTATATGAATATTGACATTCAATGAAGAAATCGTGCTAGAAAGCTGATATTTTGACTGTAGTAGAGTTTCATAGAGAACTTTCTATGACAAAAATTTAATGCTCTAAATAATTGAAAACACTATGCTATCAAGGACCGATTTCACAAAATACTTTATCAATAGAAGTTCCATTCCATTAGTGGGACTTTCAGGAACGTAATGCATAGCGTAAAGTTCTGTAAGAATTAACATGGAATCTCCTAGAATATGTTTGGGTGACTTATTGTAAGATACTCACAGGTGACCCATTTTACATTGAAAATAGACTAGACTTCACTTGAAAATCAATAGAAAAATTTC